TGTGTATGGGAGTGAGTAGTAGCTTTAAATATGGATCTCCGGGATGAAAGCTCCAGATTTGGCTCATTACCAAGCACGACGTCAAGAAACTTATCTTCGTCATCTTCAACCTTCTTTTCTGCGAACCAGTCGCCCTTCTTCTCTCCCAGGTCACCCAAGTCCCTGATATCAACATATTCGGATAATCAACTTCGTGATAGCGATGTTACTTCTGGTGCCTTAGATGCTGGTTTGGGCATTCCGGGTCCAGAATCATTTGCAAATGCCAGGTTGTCGGATGCTTATCCTGTTGCGTTGGCTAGTGCAGTTAATGATCTTCAGAAGTTGGATTTTGCGTCTTCTTCAACTTCAATTTCGAAGAGCACTATAGCGAGTTATAACATTGGCCCAGAACATGAATATTTGCGACCTAGAGGCAAGCAGAAAAAGAGTGGGAGAACACAGGAAACTTGTGTTACTCCAACATCAACTTCCTCCTTATCCAACAGAGTGAGGAGCTGTGATGTGTACATTGGTTTTCACGGCCGCAAACCTTTACTGCTCAGATTCATGAATTGGCTCCGTGCTGAGTTAGAAATCCAAGGGCTAAGTTGCTTTGTTACTGACAGAGCGAGGTGCCGAAATTCCAGAAAACATGGCATGGTTGAGAGAGTAATGGATGCTTGTACATACGGAGTTGTGATCTTAACAAAGAAATCGTTCAGGAATCCATATACCATAGAGGAGCTGCGCTTCTTCTCTAGCAAAAAGAATTTGGTGCCAGTGTACTTCGATTTACGTCCAGAGGATTGCCTTGTTCGAGATATAATTGAGAGAAGAGGAGAGCACTGGGAGAAACATGGTGGTGAACTTTGGCTTCTCTATGGGGGATTGGAGAAGGAGTGGAGAGATGCTGTCAATGGTCTTTTGCGTGTCGATGAGTGGAAACTAGAGGCTCATGATGGCAGGTGGAGGGAATGCATATTGAGGGCTGTAACTCTATTGGCATTAAGGTTAGGGAGGCGAAGTGTTGTGGACAGACTGTCCAAGTGGAGGGAGAAGGCAGAAAAGGAGGAGTTTCCTTTCCCTCGAAATGAGAATTTTGTTGGTAGAAAGAAGGAGCTGTCCGAGCTCGAGTTTCGGCTTTTTGGTGATGTTAGCGGGGATGCAGAGAAAGACTATATTGAACTAAAGGCTAGACCCAAGCGGAAGAACGTGACAATTAGTTGGAGTCGGAGCAACTCGATCAATGAAAGACGGTTTGAGCGGCCTAGTGACAACAAGAAGAAAGGTAAAGAGCCGGTGACATGGAAGGAATCTGAGAAAGAGATTGAAATGCTAAATGTTGAGGTTTCTCATACTCAGCAGCATACACCAAAGCAAAGGAATACTAGGAAGCAAGGAAAGCGAAGCAGATCCTTGAAAGTTGTCTATGGAAAGGGCATTGCTTGTGTGTCTGGGGAGCCAGGAATTGGCAAGACAGAGCTACTGCTTGAGTATGCATATCAATTCCATCAGCGCTACAAGATGGTCCTTTGGATTGGAGGTGAAAGCAGGTACATTCGACAAAACTACTTGAACTTGTGGTCGTTTTTAGAAATTGATGTGGGGGTAGAAAGCTCACCTGAAAAAAGCAGGATAAAGAGCTTCGAGGAGCAAGAAGAGGCTGCTGTAGCTAGGGTTAGGAAAGAACTTATGCGAGACATTCCATTCTTGCTGGTAATTGATAACTTGGAGAGCGAAAAGGACTGGTGGGACCACAAACTTATAATGGATTTGCTTCCCCGTTTTGGGGGCGAAACACATGTTCTCATATCCACGCGTCTCTCTCGGGTGATGAACATGGATCCTATCAAACTTAATTATCTGTCAGAGATTGAGGCAATGTCTTTGATGCAGGGCGCTGTGAAGGATTACCCGATTGCTGAAATTGATGCCTTGCGAGTAATTGAGGAAAAACTTAAAAGACTGACACTTGGCCTTGCCATTGTTGGAGCTATTCTTTCTGAACTTCCTATAAATCCTAGCAGGCTCTTGGATACCATCAACCGTATGCCTTTGAAGGAAATAATCTCGATTCGTCGGGAAAACCATCCACTGAGGCGAAACAATTTCCTTTTGCAACTTTTTGAAGTTTGTTTCTCGATATTTGACCATGCTGATGGACCAAGAAGTCTAGCAACAAGAATGGTTCTCGCAACCGGTTGGTTTGCTCCATCATCTATTCCAGTTTCTCTATTAGCTCTGGCTGCTCACAAGATACCGGAGAAATACCCACGAAGGAGGATGTTGAAGAAAGTTTTATGTTCTTTAACTTGTGGTTTCTCATCATCATATGCTAGGAAATCAGAGGCAGAAGCATCTTCCCTTTTGTTGAGATTCAACATAGCAAGGACTTGTAGAAAGGAAGGCTACATTCAGTTCCACCAGCTTATCAGAATGTATGCTCGAAAAAGAGGGGTCATCGGAGTTGCACAAGCCACAGTACAAGCTGTTGTAAGTCGCGGTTTAATAGCACAGCACTCTGAACACATATGGGCAGCATGCTTTTTGCTCTTCGGATTTGGGAGTGACCCGATGATAGTTGAGCTTAAAGTTTCCGAATTGTTGTTTCTCGTGAAAGAAGTGATTCTACCACTTGCCATTCGAACATTTATTACATTCTCACGCTGTAGTGCTGCTCTAGAACTTCTACGACGTTGTACAGATGCATTAGAAGCAGCAGATCAAGCATTTGTCACGCCTGTTGACAAGTGGTTGGATAAATCACTTTGTTGGAGACCTATCCAGACAAATGCTCAATTAAACCCTTGCCTATGGCAGGAACTTGCTTTATCAAGAGCGACAGTGCTCGAGATCAGGGCAAAGTTAATGTTAAGGGGTGGACAGTTTGATATCGGTGATGATTTAATCAGGAAGGCTATTTTCATCAGAACTTCAATCTGCGGCGAGGACCATCCCGACACCATATCTGCTCATGAAACTCTCAGTAAACTTACAAGACTCCTTGCTAGTGTTCAAAATCATACATCAAATAGAAGTTAATTGTTTTAGAGTAGTTTAGCTAGAATTATAGAGAGTTATCGGAATAAGCTGGTTTAATAGTTCAAAGGATAGAATTTTTGATATTAATGAGTAGTCATACATCTTATTCAAATTTTTTCCATATCTTTTTTGGTATGCAAATATCATTTCTTTTTTTGTCTCTGATGTTGCTATTCCTTTCCTGCTTCCTGTTTATTGTATGTCTTTTACTTCTGCTTTCTGTTTGTTAGATCTTTTTTCTATTAACAGGGTTTGGAAATAATGTACTCAGCCACTGAAATTTATTAATGGTTTAAGTATTCCATTGTTAGAAGATTTTATATCATTATCCTCTTCAAAAGGAAAAAACAAAAAAAGAGGATTTGCCTTCTAAAAGCTCTCATATAACTAAACACAGCTAATTTAGAAATGAAAGCAAATGCCAGACTCCATACTACTCGTTACTTTCTTACATTGTTACCTGCAAAAGGAAGAAATACTTTTCCCTATCATGGAAACCTGAACAGTATAATACAGTTGCTTCAAGAACCTCATTGCGGCTGATGGCTTAGTGTGAGAACTTGGCTGGCGTAGATAATATGCAGAAGATATTCAGCACATCGAGACATTTCAAAGTAGCAAAATCTGTCAGAAAGTCAGAATCCAATCACTTGAAAATGAGCAAGGTTTTGGGTAAGACTATATCACCATAACGTTTGCTCCAAGTATGTTTCTATTCTTTTTAACTGTTGCTGCTAAGTATTATCTATGCATTTTGCGAGATTTCCCCATCTCTGTTTCCAAGACTCGCTAAATGACACTTATCAGCTAAACCACACAAATTGGAGATGACTTGCTAGTTTGACTGTATTCTAATCTAGTTCAATCTGGTCTCTGAAAGTTTTTTTACACTTGGAGTGAAATAGTTAATTGTCTTTGTATTAGTCTTCAATGTCTCTAGAATATCAGATAAGATAATAGATGCACTGTCAGGATAATGTTTATCACTTGCTTGATTTGTCTTGAAAAACAGCTGGTTCTTATATCTTGTGGGACCGAGCTTTAAATGAAATTCTGTCCAATAAGTAGTTCGATCAAGACTAGATTTCAGCAATCATGATTTGAAGTGTCAAAGAAATTATGCTGCGGCAAGTGCATTGTTCATGCAGACTTAACTAGCTAAGAAAGACTCCCTTTTTGTTACCAACCTTCTTCCCTTGCTTGGTGTTTTAGGTCTTCTTATCCAAGCGGACACTTTTGAATTATTTATCCTTTTGAGAAACTTTTGTTTTACTAGACATGCCCAAGTCACTATGAGATAATTCTTAAACATGCTACAAGGGTAGCCCGGTGCACTAAGCTCCTGTTATGCGTGGGGTCCGGGAAAGGACCGACCACAAGGGTCTACTGTACGCAGCCTTATCCTACATTTCTGCAAGAGGCTGTTTTCACGGCTCGAACCCGTGACCTCCTGGTCACATGGTAGTAACTTTACCGGTTACGCCAAGGCTCCCCTTCTTCTTAAACATGCTACAAGTTGCTATTAAATATTATAAGGTGAAGGCATAGCATGTAGCTGCATTATAAAAAAAATTAGAACAATATCGGCCTTTGCAGTACTCTTCTTTTCTTTGGCTACGAGGAAGTAAATGCCTTGTTCATCCATTCTTTAACTTTGACGTGGAAGTTTATACTTGTCCAAGATAAAAGTAGTCTTGTGCCTTATCGACTTTGCTGGTGTTTTTTATCAGCTATTGTACTTTTACCTTGATGTTATTTTGAGGATCTTTCTGGATAATACTACAAGACTTGCACAGTTTATGGCTGCCCTTTAATTAGAGTCCTTTTTGATAAGCTCTTGGTATCTGGTCACAAGTTTCTCTTATTATTTAGACAGTTTGGCCAGTCAAGTTTCTTTTATCTTTCTTGAGCCGAGGGTCTATTGGAAACAATTTCTCTACCTTCCCTTCCAGGGTAGGGGTAAGGCCTTCGTACACACTACCCTCCCCCGATCCCACTTGTGGGATTCCACTGGGTTGTTGTTGTTGTTGTTGTTGTTTTTGTTGTAGTTTGGCCAGTCAAGCACTTCAACCTGCTAGATTGCTTAAACATTTCTGGCTGACTTGACCGGCTATCATGGAGTCACAGGAGTCGGGCTAGAAAAGGACTCTTATGGTATTGCAATATGATTTGGTCGTATACTGAATCCAGAGAAGGTAGTTATGTGGATTGTTGGCTTTACTTTCTATAATCAGTACCGGATTCTTGCTTTCTGTTCATCTAACAACTTCAATATCTGGACCTCTTCTTTTGGTTTGAAGATAAACCGGTGCTGCTTCATTCTTACGTCAAGATGGATTACTACCCCAAAGTTCCGGTGTACAAAGGTTGAGCTGAAGTTGCACTAGAACTTGTGGAAAATATCGAGGATCCAGAGAACATGGAACTTGGGACGACTCCACTGCAGAAACCTGGTGCAACTCCGCCGTTGGTCTTCATACAGAACTTCAGAAATGCATGTTGTTGGTATTTACTCCTCAAGCAGTCTTCTAAGCCACCTCCTTTTCCATCAGAATCCTAGGAACAATGCCTCCTACCTAAGATGGCAACATCGGTATAATCTACTCAAATCACTTGCCTCTGCGATTCGATATCTGCCATTATTATTTATCCAGATATGAATCGAAGGCTTGGTTTCTTTGCTCTTGCTGAATTCTTGACTAGAAATGAGCATGGGCATCATGTTGTTCTTGATAAAAATAAATCAGTTTGAGGAATTTTTGTTTCCATCTCAGCAGAGCATATAGATTCTGGTGAAACAACAATGGCTGATGTTTATAGCTTTTGTATAGTGCTGCTTGAGGTAGTTAGTGGTCAGGTGGCAGTAGATTTTCGAGTTGTACTCTTAGGGGTCGTTTGGCAGGATGTATTAGGGAAAATAATACATGTATTAGCTTTGGTATTATAATACATGTATTACCTAGGGGTACGGTCTGCACACACACTACCCTTCCCAGACCCCACTTGTGGAATTATATTGGGTATGTTGTTGTCGTATAACCTATGTATAACTATTAGTTATACACCCTATTCAGTATTATTCTTATACACAACAAACCATGACATTAGCAATACCGTAGTTTTTAATACATGGATAAGCATGTACAAAGATAGAATTGCCTTTTCAAAAACCTTTAATAAACCAAACCAAACAATCGATAAGAAATAATCTCAGCATAACTAACCCTAGCATAATGACTAATATACCTTATACAATATTATTTTTATACACGATATAACCACTCGAGTGTGTTAGAGAACCTCTAGTGTTAGATAATCCTTAAGTACGGAGTATTTAATTATTATGATTCAAACATAACATTTATGATATCGAGGATTTATATAGTCAATCTCAATTAATTTTGGAATGAGGCGTAGTTGTTCTTTTCTGTAAGTCATTAAGCTTTATCTCTTGTCCTTTTTGTTCTTTTATTTATTCATGTACGCCCTCTAGTTTCTGTTTCCTTGCAACTTTTGCATTGCAGTTATTTGTTTCAAAGAAGGATAGCTTCTTTATGTAATCAATAATACCTATTATCAAACATTTAAACAAATGAGACCAATAGAATTTGGTGAATAAAAGTAAACTCTCTGTGCTAAAAAAAAGAAGGCAGTGTTAGTGTAAAGAGTAATATAAGTATCTATAACATTTCCTCTATTAGTTTGGTGTTTTTCCCTATTAAGTCAATCATTTTCAGGTTCAAGAAAATAATAATTCTATTAATAGATCGGAAGTCTAAGCACTCTCTAATTTATTATCTCCTTTATTCACGTTCGTTTGTTGGGGTAGGGTGGGTGGAATTTGGATCAATCAGAAAAAGGGAAATTTTTTATGAAAGGATACTAAATATTTAGGTCATATATAAAAGTTAAGTTAGATAACAGATGATAAAAGATTTGAGAAGATTATAAATGATCATTGATCACGTTCGACAAGAGGTGAAATTAACGGGAGAAATTCAAAAATAGCCAGATTTACAAGTAGTCATTGAAAAATAGCCACAATTTTAATAGTAATCGAAATTTAGCCATTTTTCATATAAAGATAAATCTAAACAAAAACACAGTTCAAAATCCGAAAAATATTCCAACATAATATACTGGAATTCTAGTATAATATACAACTACTCCAGTATAATTATACTGGAACTCCAGCATATTATACTGGAGTAGCAGTATATTATATTGGAATTCCACTACTGCTCCAGTATAATATACTGAAGTTCCAGTATAATATGATTATGCTGGAGTTCCAGTATAATATACCGGTCCAGCATAATATTCTAGAAGTTCATACAAAGGTACTCCAATCTCCAGTATATTATGCTGGAACTTTCCGAGTGTTGGAGTTACAACATAATATGCTAGAAGTTCATACACATGTATATCAATCTCCAGTATATTATGCTGGAACTTTTCGTGTTGCAGCAAGATAGATGCTATTTTTCAATGACTTTGCAAACACTAGTTATTTTTCAATTACCAGTCCGAAAACTAAGCCATGCTATTTTTATGCAATTAACGCACAAAAAAAACAAAAAAGAAGAAAAAAAATTCTAAAAATAGCACGGTATAGCCAGTTTTCGGACTGGTTAGTCAAAAATAGTCAGCGTTTACCAAGTCAATGAAAAATAGCCACTATTTTGCTACAACAGAGACCGGTCCAGCATAATATATTGGGGTTCGATGCACTTATATATGGAATCCAGCATATTATGCTAGACCGGTATACTTTGCTGGTTCTAGTATAATATACTGGAGACTGTAGCACCGGTGCTCCAAACTCCAGTATATTATGCTGGAGTTCTAGTGTACTTATGCTGGAACTCCATCATATTATGCTGGAGTTCCAGCATACTTATCCTGGAACTCCAGTATAATATGCTGGAGTTCAAGTATACTTATGCTGGAACTCCATCATATTATGCTGGAGTTCCAGCATACTTATCCTGGAACTCCAGTATAATATGCTGGAGTTCAAGTATACTTATGCTGGAACTCCAGCATAATATACTGGCGTATTTTTCGGGTTTTGAACAGTGTTTTTGCTCAAATTTATCTTTACATAAAAAATGACTAAATTTCGATTACTTTTGAAATTGGGCTATTTTTAAACGACCAATTGTAAATCTGACTATTTTTGAATTTCTCCCGAGATAATTTAATCATGTCTTAGGTTGACATTAGATGCATCAAACTATAAATGTGACACTATGACGATATAAGATGTACATCAATCACATAAAGGAAAGGGAAAAAACTTACCTGCACCTGGAGTATACACCAAGTCAATAATTAAATGACATTTGTCACCTTATTTAACTATAAACAAGTAGTATTTAACTATAGTTAATTCCATCTAATTTTTATATAATCTTAAATAATAATAATAATAATAATCTTTAATGTTTTCAAGCTATTCTGTTGTTCCGCGGCAAATATCGTAAGGGAGCATATCAAGGCCAATAAATTTCTCATTAACCACCTAAATTCTCCTCCTTTCTTCTTAAATAATTTTTTGCTGCAAATACACCCTCATTGATTTTTTTCAAGATCTTATAATCCAAAAATATACTAGCTTCTACCTTTCCACACTAACTTTCAACTCATCTTTAACATAAAAATTAGCTATAAAATCACAAAACTAATCACTATTTAAGGCAGCCTACAAGATAATTGTTCTACTTAGCTTTAACATGTAGAAATCAAGTTAAAACTTAGCTTTCAGAAGAAGCATCCTATAAGGTTATTCAAGATGTCTAAGATCTCCTTTATAAATACCATCATATTATATCACCGTCCCTCCGGATAAGTTTCATAACCTTAACCAAACACTTAAAAATAAAAAACACGATGAGTAATGACAACATTCAGCTTTATCCATTAAAAAAGATAACAATAACAATAACAAAACCACTTATTTTTCTTACATGACAACATCTAAATTCTTCATTGAAATGGTTTCTTAGTTCACAATTGTATGTAAAATGCTATTACTATTTAAAAATCAGAGCAATCAAGTTCACTAGCATCTCCTTCTCAAAAGTCTCAAAATATTAATATCAAAGAATTTCAGTTTCCAATCTTATGGCACCTACTACTATGCCAAAACTGTAAATGTAGCAATAAATATAAAGACGGCAACCCTAAAAGTTTAACGTCAGTTATTAGGACTGTTTATTACCTTTTCTTAAAAATAAAAATAAAAAGTAAAAAACTCTAGTAGATATTGTAGTTTATTTTCTATGGTTAAGTTAACTAGATTTGTTGTATACACCGGGTGTGAGTAAGTTTTTTCCTAGAGGAAAGTTACCCTAAAAAGATTGAAAATCTCTTGAAACTAATATAAATCTAACTAATAAAATAACACAATGCAAGCAAACAATCTCACAATCAGTTAGTTGGGATTAAACTAGTTAATTAAACGGTAAATGGTATTTTATAATCAACTAGTTGTGATTAAATTATTTGGTATCAACACGAAATGGTAAATGATTCATATAGTCAACTCCGTATGAGATACAAATTGAAATTGTCGCATAATTGGTTACTTGATATACCAATCTTGTCAAGGTGCAAAAGTTGAACTGATCTCGTCGGTATTTTTATTATTTATAGTACCAAAGTGCTTGAGTTTAGGCATGCTAGAAATTCATGAAGAACTCGTTCGCTCAGAAAAGAATGATCGTTGTCAATCTCAAAAATCTGTTTTTTAATATTAAAATAGATGGAATAATTGTCTCCATTCCTATCACTAACCAAAAAAAGTGTTATCAAAGATAAAATTTCGAAAGTCTTTAACCCCGAGTAAATAATAAACATTACTACAACTAGAATTGTTGCGATTCCCCCAATTATAAATATGTTTCACTGTTCAATATAGATCTTCACTGGTATTTTCAACGGGACGAAGATTGCCATTGATTTCTTTAGCCCACACCTTTATGAGATGGAATTATCGAGCTTACTCTCGTCTTATTTGTAGTATTTAGAAAGAATGTGGTCATGCATATTGTTTACTCCAACTATTTATACTTCAACTTCTCCAATGTATATATATATATGAAAATTTATTCTAGCATATAACTATGTCACCCCCGAGAGATCAAACTGTTAACATACAAACCCTCCACTATCGGTTTTTACAGGAAATATTTCTTTTTAAAACCAAACACAAAATATCCCCTCAACTATGCAACTCGTTTTCAACAAAATTTAAGTTTTAGCACGTCTACTTTAAAAGAAAACATAAACCTACTCATCCACTGGGAAGTAAGGGATCGTTTGGTAGGGAACAAGTTATCCCAAAGTTATAATGCTGGGATTATAATACTGACGGGATTATTTAGTGAATATATTTTCACTAGAAGATGAACACGTGAAGGTGATCTTCTCTTGATCTTTGGGGGCTATTTGTATAGCAATCCTAGAAGCAATAAAAATATCTCCCCGCTAATCTATCAAGCATTGATCCATGAAAGGTAGTAAAAGCGGTCCTTTCAGCCTTTCGGGTTGCATTGTTTAATTTCTGGTAATCCATGCACACTCTCTACCCTATCATTGTTCGCATTGGAATAAGCTTATTCTTCTCATTTGGCACCACTGTTAGACGAATTTTTCAGGGACCGGATAAACTTTGATTTTCGGCTAACCCAGCACCAACTCTTCAATAGATTTCTTGCTGGAGTTCCGTCCTTTAAGCCAGGGAAGCTGCATCTACTTATCCCACCTTTG